AGCCCATCTGATTAGTCGATTGTTTACTAATTAAGGTAAATTTCTATTAGTTCCTAATAGTTGTATAAGGGGTTTGTGGTCTGTAACTAATGTGAATTTCGTTCCTCGAAAATATTGGTCAAATTTTGTTATTCCGAACAATATTGTCAACGCTTCTCTATTGAATAATTGCTTTCTGCTTGTTTCAATTTTCTTGAAGCAAATGCGTTTGGTTCAATGCGGTTAATTTTATGGTACAAAACAGCTCCGATACCTTTTTCTGAAGCATCACATGCTAGGTAAAGGGCTTGTTTGTCATTATAATGAATCAGAGGTTTGGATCGCGTTACACATCTTTTGCTCTTCAAAAATAGCGTTTTCTTTCTCAGACCACTTCCACTTTTGTTTATGTCCTGTCAGAGTGTGCAATTCGGAACATATACCATGGAGGTATATGTTCCGAATTATGATCTTAATTCTTTTATATTTTCAGGTGGTGGTGCTTAGAGGATTCCCTCAGTTTTATATTTTGTTGGTCTTATTCCATCTTTGCTAATCGTATGACCCAAGTACTCTATGTCGTTTTGTAAAAATGTACACTTCTTAAGATTCACTTTCATCCCTGCTTTCTGAAGTCGGTTCAATAATTTTTCTTATGTTTTGAGGTGATCTTCATTTGTTTTTCCAGTCACGGCAATATCATCGAAATAAATGGCTGTATTAGGGATGTCATTAAGTAGATTTTCAAGGTAATGTTGAAAAATTGCTGGTGCTGTAGTTATACCAAAAGGCATTCTGTTATATTGGTAATAACTTTTATGTGTAGAGATAGTTAGGTACTTTCTAGAAGCAGGAGCCACATTAAATTGTAAATAGGCGTCTTTAAGTCAATCTTTGAGTACTTTTCTCCATCAGCAAGTCGTTGTCTTAAATGGTCAAATAAGGCTACTGAATGTGTATGTGTTACTAGAATTGGGTTGATTGTTGTGCGGTAATCGCCACAAATTCTAATTTTTCCATTTGGTTTGAGAACATTAACTGTTGGGGTGGCCTATTCTACAGGTGTTGTGTTTGGGTTAATTTTTTATATAATAACCAATTCTATTTCTACATTTTTTCTTATGCTGAATTTGATTGGCCTTGCTGGTAGATGTTTGGGTTCAGTTTCCGGTTTGATGAAAATGTTGACCTCATAATTTTGTACTTTTGTATCATCATAAAGTTATTTATTTTTGTCAATAATTTGTTTTAAAGTTAATGTCTCAATCTTGATTGAGTAAACAGAACTAGGGAAATTCATATTAAACATTTCATTCCATTGTAATCCAAACAGCATGGGGTTAGCACAATTAATAACGACCACAGGGAGTATCTTTTGTTTGCCGTCAACTTCTACAGTAACATCGGTAAGACCTTTAGGTTTTAATCTGTGGTCACAATAGGCACGCAATTTTGGTCCCTTCACTAACTCTGGAGATCCAATCTTTCTTCAAAATGCTGTGCTTATGATTGGATAAATTGATCCTGGGTCCAAATCCATTGTTGATGCTTTGCCATTTATATGAATGTCAATTTTCTTACATCTCATGTTATGTACGTTAATTTTGTGTATTCTCTAATCATCATCACTGTTACTATCAGTATCGTTATTATCATAAAAATTATGTTCCCCTGATATCACGTTGTGTTGTTATTTTAAATATTGCCTTCTATCTTTGCTTTCCCAGATTTTAAACAACAGCTCTCAATATGACCTTTTATGTTGCATGCCTTGCAAATATAAGAGATTGCGGCACAATCGTTTAATTTGTGTTTGTCTGTTTTACCACATCTTTTACAATGATTTTTTTTCAACACTCGTTGTTTGTAACTTTTTAAAAATCGTTTGTTTACGTTTCCTTGCTGAATGCGGTGTACGTTATCAGAGCTACAAGGAGTATCGTTTTCTGCTAATTCTCTTGATTGTGCAATGTTAAAAATCTGTTCAAATGTTATTTATAGTATATATTTTTGTTTTAAATCTAGTAGTGCTTCATGGTTAAGACCTGTTGCAAAACGGTCACGCAGTTGACGTTCTAAGAAGTGGCCTTCATAACCGCAGTCTTTACTAAGTTCTTTGATTTTTTTGGCGTATGTTTCCATGGATTCACTTTCTTTTCTCGTGCAACTCCAGAATTCAGTAAGAGCTTTGAATCTTGTCTTTTATATTGGATAAAAACTGTATAATTTTGTTTTGATTTCTTCATACGAACGTTCATGAAAATCCGACAAGAATGATGTTTTTATTTTATGAAATATATCCGGTGGCAAACATATATTATTGACCATAATAAATATTACATTTTTCTTCAAAGTATTCAATAAATTCACTCACCGTTGTTTTTCAGGGTTAAATTTATCGTTTGCAAAATGGCTTATTTTCTTACATTTGTCATCATCGTTGTTCAATGATTTTGTTTCTGTTTTTTGTTTTGTTTGAACTGCTAAAATGCGTAGTATTTCAGTCAGTTGATTTTGTTGTATTAAAAAAGCCTTAAATTGGTTCGCATCCATTATTATTAAACTCGTCGCCAATTGATGTAATTAAAAACACATGTGTAAGATCAAGCATTTTTTAATTAATGACGACTTTTTGTTCTACTCTTTGTCACTGACATTTTGAAACTATTAACATAGAGATAAATATATTTTATTTATGTAGGACATGAACAGTTAGAAGGAAGAAGTTTCGTTAAGGTGCTTAAATGCTTTCACTTGAATAGTAAAGGTAGGATTCTGAATAGATTGTATTGTGAAAGTCACCATGCTCTTGGTTATCATTTGCCCTTCATCTACTTATGATATAATGCAGTTGCAGTCGATTCTTTGAGCCCAAGCATTAAACAGCGGTTTCCGTTATATATGACGCCTTTAACCCTTGGTCTATGAGTGCTCTGATTTTATGACGAATACCGTTTTTAGCCATCGTGGTGATTACCGTTGTGGCTAAAAGTACTTCCTGATGATTCTTACTCTCAGAGGCAAAATGGGTGGCTATTCTATGAACTATTACATTACTCTCAGGTTCTCGCTTCTTAGATAACACAGGCTCCATATTAGACTCGATAGGTACCCTGTCTTGATTTTCAAAATTTAGTAGGGTGTAATGCCTTCGACCACAACCGTGACAACTCAATTGTTTTTTACAATATTTGACCGCATGACCTGATGTTAAGCAGTTAAAACAAAGGCTTTTATGGTTTGCACGTAGTTTAATCTATCTTAGGGTGACAGTTTTTGAAATTACTAACAATGGTAAATTTGGGTTGGCTCTGTGCACATACAACAAGTGACCAGTTTGAAGTTTATCTCCGATGTCAGCGTTGAGGCATGCACACTTTTAGGTAATAAAAAGATTGGATTCTTAGGTTGTTGAACCGACTTCGGCATTGCGGTATTGGCAATCATCTCAATTGTTCTAAACCTTCGTTCTAAAAAGAGAACCATTTGCCTCCAAGTTCAAACTCCCGTGCCTTACGCGACTCGCTATCTAATTGACTTGAGTGATTGAATATAAACCATTACGATGTCCCAATTATCAGTATTTACTCCAATATCGTTTAGAGCTTTCAAACAACAATTAGTTGCATCTAATAAATTTTTAATGGCGTTTGCTGATTCAGGTGTAAGAGTCCTTTGTCCAAATAATTTCTTCATTAGCTAATTTGTATTGTATTATTCTACAATCTCTTATTCTTGTAACGTCTTAAGCTGTGACTAACCATGCTTCGTCATAATTATTCTCAGTTGTAGCTAAATCCTTTATAAGATTTGCAGGTTCTCCACACAAACTGCTCTTCAAGTAACGTAGTTTTTGAATTCTACTCAAACTCGTGTTGTTATGTATGAGTGAGAGAAACATATGAATGAATGAATGATTTTTTAAATATATTTTACATATCATAGTACGATTCCCATTCTTCATAATTGCTACTAAATGACGGTAGTCTGGTTTGCGGCAATTTGACTTCATAACTTGTGGGACTGGACTGGCCATTATTGGACGTAAAGAGTATAACTGGCATTCTGTATTGAGTTTAGTACTCCAAATAAACTTTTTTTGCCTTTATATAAAATTCTTCTTTGAAATAATCTAACCCTTCTCATTCTGCTTTTGTGGTGGCACCTAATGTGTAGTATTAAATTGTATTCAGTTTTATTCCAAATTATTCAATTTAATCTAATCGTAATGTAATACGATCCATTGGTTATTTTTTATAATTGGTATATTATTTTCTTATGTTACTCAAACTGTATTTTTGTTTTTAGATTGATTTATCCATTTTCATGTTTTGAAATTTAAATACCTAATACGTTCATAATATTTTAGCTTCCGTATAGCAAAGTTCAGACAATCAGTAAAATCGGTTAAGTTCTTTAAAATACTCACAATTTTTAACTAACAGCCAGTTGCACAAATATCGTCATTAAACCTTAACGGATGTTTGTGCAATCGTCTATAAGTCTATTGGTGGTGTTTCGGCTCTTATTAGGGTTTTATGAAGTTCGGGTTCGTAGAAGTTAAAGATGGTTTTATAATAAGACTATTTGTTCTTCCAAGTATTTTGACTTTTTGAACTTATTTGATAATTTGGTCGGATAACTAACTGGACATAATATATTAACGATTTTTGGCCCTACTCTTGGTCAAAACTTAAGATTACATCTAGATAGGACAGACGCGTGGCGGCCGGCCGATCACAGCGCGTTTTGCCCCCGCTCTTCCGTGCCCGATGAGCTTTCTGATAAATATACAAATGTAGGCGCTACGATCGGTCGTTCGATTCGTACAATTCCGAGGCGCATAGTTTTTCATAAAATCTAAATAAAATCTTAGATCATTCATCCGAAACACGTTTTTTTTTGTGATACAACAGTCGGTTTTTCAGCTGCAATTTAAACGATAGGGACGTTTTTGAACTTACCTTTATCATTCACTACAAGGGTATATTTAAATTTGAAAAGTGGGGTTTTCAATAACGTCACCGCTTGTACGATGCAATGCGCTTGTGCAGAACGGGCAGAGCGCGCTGCACGGCGCGTGCATGTTCGGGCACTTGCCCTGCGTGCGGCTGCTGGCGCGCGCCACCGACCCGCGCCTGCGCAACGCCGCGGGGCACACGCCGCTGCAGGCCGCCGCCCACGCGCAGCGCCGCGACGTCGTGCGCTACCTGCGCCATCTGGCGGCCGAGCGCGCGTGACGGGGCCCGCTGTACGCCCGTGTATATATACACACGCCGCTGCAGGCCGCCGCCCACGCGCAGCGCCGCGACGTCGTGCGCTACCTGCGCCATCTGGCGGCCGAGCGCGCGTGACGGGGCCCGCTGTACGCCCGTGTATATATACACACGCCGCTGCAGGCCGCCGCCCACGCGCAGCGCCGCGACGTCGTGCGCTACCTGCGCCATCTGGCGGCCGAGCGCGCGTGACGGGGCCCGCTGTACGCCCGTGTATATATACACACGCCGCTGCAGGCCGCCGCCCACGCGCAGCGCCGCGACGTCGTGCGCTACCTGCGCCATCTGGCGGCCGAGCGCGCGTGACGGGGCCCGCTGTACGCCCGTGTATATATACACACGCCGCTGCAGGCCGCCGCCCACGCGCAGCGCCGCGACGTCGTGCGCTACCTGCGCCATCTGGCGGCCGAGCGCGCGTGACGGGGCCCGCTGTACGCCCGTGTATATATACACACGCCGCTGCAGGCCGCCGCCCACGCGCAGCGCCGCGACGTCGTGCGCTACCTGCGCCATCTGGCGGCCGAGCGCGCGTGACGGGGCCCGCTGTACGCCCGTGTATATATACACACGCCGCTGCAGGCCGCCGCCCACGCGCAGCGCCGCGACGTCGTGCGCTACCTGCGCCATCTGGCGGCCGAGCGCGCGTGACGGGGCCCGCTGTACGCCCGTGTATATATACACACGCCGCTGCAGGCCGCCGCCCACGCGCAGCGCCGCGACGTCGTGCGCTACCTGCGCCATCTGGCGGCCGAGCGCGCGTGACGGGGCCCGCTGTACGCCCGTGTATATATACACACGCCGCTGCAGGCCGCCGCCCACGCGCAGCGCCGCGACGTCGTGCGCTACCTGCGCCATCTGGCGGCCGAGCGCGCGTGACGGGGCCCGCTGTACGCCCGTGTATATATACACACGCCGCTGCAGGCCGCCGCCCACGCGCAGCGCCGCGACGTCGTGCGCTACCTGCGCCATCTGGCGGCCGAGCGCGCGTGACGGGGCCCGCTGTACGCCCGTGTATATATACACACGCCGCTGCAGGCCGCCGCCCACGCGCAGCGCCGCGACGTCGTGCGCTACCTGCGCCATCTGGCGGCCGAGCGCGCGTGACGGGGCCCGCTGTACGCCCGTGTATATATACACACGCCGCTGCAGGCCGCCGCCCACGCGCAGCGCCGCGACGTCGTGCGCTACCTGCGCCATCTGGCGGCCGAGCGCGCGTGACGGGGCCCGCTGTACGCCCGTGTATATATACACACGCCGCTGCAGGCCGCCGCCCACGCGCAGCGCCGCGACGTCGTGCGCTACCTGCGCCATCTGGCGGCCGAGCGCGCGTGACGGGGCCCGCTGTACGCCCGTGTATATGTACAGGGTTATTTGCGAAACGCTCCGAAGTTGTCGCGTTAATTAAAATTATTTTCTATTCAAATATTAATAACAACATAGATGCGCCGCCTCGGTCCGATAAAATTTCAAAATATTCATAGTTTATTTTATTTCGTAACTCAAACGCGAACGGTTATCGCCGAACTCGTCCTGTAAAGTAAAATTTCTGGTGTTTTACGAATACCCTGTATACGATAGTGTATAATATTCCTCAACATTACAAAACGCAACACAGTATTTTGGCTAAAAAATATCCTAAATCTAATTTCGCTTATGACATCTAAATTTAACCGCCTTATTAACTTTTAACCTTCATCTTTGTAATTTTAAATATACAAAAATTCATACTTATTTGTTAGAAATGTCAAAAGCAGATCTATACATCTATCGATAATCCATTTCCTTTTATATTATAATTAGATTGTTAATACTTTGAAATAAGCTATTGAAATAGACTATCAATTTAGATTTTTTATTGTTGTACCTTCAGGGAAAATTATAAATCTTACATTCATATATCATACCAGTGAAATAATAAAATATCCATAGACAATTCTAGTCGTATCGCACATTAAATTGGAAATTATATGTCTATTAAATCAATATTTCATAATAACTTTACACAAAAGAAAAAGAATTTTTCAAACGTTATTCGTCCACTAACGAAGACTGTCTCTATTCGCTTGAACTTATAGACTATGAACACACCATAGATAAGGCTCAGACGGCATTTCGATTAAACGGATTAAACGCAGTGATGTGTCAGCCTTACATAATGACCGCTTAGGTTTACGCTTAGTTTTCCACGCAAACATAATTTGTCAGAAACAATCATAATTATATTATCTTTCAGTCATACCGCATAATATTATACATAGATAAGTATAACATACTATTTTGTATATTATATACACTATTATCATAATATAGTATATGCCATATCACACAGCTTTACCCGTTCGCCTTACGCATAATACCTCATACATAACCTTAAGACTTATAAGTAATTCCATACAAAAAGAATTATAAACAAACTAATTGAACATTTCATTTTAGAAAACATCTAGTTCTTAAATTTTATTTGTCTAACAGAATTATTTTAATATCCACATGCTTTTATTTATAAAAAAAATGGTATGGAAAAAGTTTTTATTGTGTAAAATACAAATTACTTATTTTAAATAATTTCCATTTTGTAGCTTTATTTTTATGAATTGAATATTGTTTTATGTAATTGGTGCTGTTACTAATATCGTGTAAGCAACGCATAATAGAAATTTTAATTTTACACTAGTCAATTATTTTGTTACATTGAAATTATGCTTCAACCAGATGTTAAGTTTCTACGAACTGTGAATCTCATTCAACCTAAAAAGTACCATGTTATGAATATCTCAAACATACAATCTGGGAATATGTATTTAATTTAGGTTTTCATTTACTACATGTTATTATAACAATTTGGTCAATTATATTTTAATTGATGTTAAAAAAAAAAGTTTTAATTAGTTTATTATATATTAACATACTGCAGAATAAGAAATCCTTTTTACTATCAAAATATCGTTAGGTATAATAGGTACCGTTATTATTAATAATTTGTAGAAATATAATACATATTTATAGCTTGTACATCATGTTAATGTTTTTTATATTCGGTACATACCATTATAATCTGTTGTATCATTAATGACTCATTGTCATTGGTCGTTATACCGCATGCGAGGATTCCCCGAAGACGAAATAATGAAAGTCAACAATCAATTACGTTAATGACGTATCAGGAATGAGTTACTGAAACCCCCGCATGCGGGCCTAATACAAATGAGTCTCAAACCGTTGATATTAGCTTTAGAGTTGTTCAATACTAACATATTAGGGTAGGTATATTTTAACTAAGTATTTATTAAACGCTCAACTTGATGTATGTTTAAAAACGAAGAGTTGTGATGTTGTGTTCTATATATAAATGAAATGAATTGTGTGCAATTTAAAAAAAAAATTCACCGATATACGGTCAGTTGCATAAACGTCCATTGAGGTTTAATGACGCATTTAAACTCTAATGAATGTCAAATTTGTATGGGTAATATCGCTTTAAAATAATGAACATTTTAATGGACGTTTGTGCAACTGGCTGATAATCTTGTAATCTCGTTAAAACTAAATTTCGTGATATTTAATCTCATTTTATTTTGTACCTACGTGAACAACTTAAATGTAACAGCCTCGCAATAATTCTAGTTGATTTGTTTTACTGTAAATGTAATAAAAATAATGCATTTTATTAATAATTGTGTAAACATAATTTCTTATTGGCAAAAGTATAACTTGAAAATAAGCCTATTATGTTATTACCGTGTGTGTAGTACAGTTTGAAAGTAACATTATTTTTAAGAGAAATTAACCAAAACTATTGTCCTTTTTTAAACCTAAGACATTAAAGTTTGGCGTGTTTGTTAAGTTTTATTTATTTTACGAAAATAAAGTCGTTTTAAATATAAACTGTGTTTTGTGTTCATGCTGTAACGACGCCTATGATTTTGTAATCATTAAATAAGGTTATTGTATAAAAAAACTTTTAAGAAAATGTTACCCACTTCAAATTTTAAAAACGAAAAGTAATACTTATCTCAAGACTCTTAGTAATACTTATCTTAAAAGAGACCTTTTCTAGAAAATACTATTAAAGTCGGGCGTAGGATTTGTTTAGGTTATTAATTGAATGAAAGGCGCCCGACTTCTTGAAAATTCGCTTTTGAGACTTTTATATCTTAATAATAATAGGGATGACGACTAATTTTTGTTTGTTTGTCCGTCAGGTAGAGTGTTAAAAAATATTAAACACGTATTTTTTTCTTAATCATAAAATTACGGCGTTACATGGAGTTGAAATTTCGCATGACGTCACGTTATGGTACGTTTTCTACTAAACTGTGACGTAGCGAGCCCCCACTCCTCAACTTTAATGCCTGTTATCTAAGCTATTTCTTGTTAAATTGAAGTAAAAAAAATACGTTTCTAATATTTTTCTATTATCTGACTGACGGACAAAATAGAAATGCATTTTTTTACCCAGTCGTCATCCCTATTATATTATTATTTTAAGTTTGAATTCAACGCGTTTTAGTGTTATTGATATTTTTTATGTGATAGTTAACACTAAAAAACGCGAGATAATCACGCACAAACATACATACATTTCATTCTCTTTCACGTTAGTCATAATTTGAATCATCTACCAACATAAAACACTGGCTTTTCACTATACTGATAATCAAGCTTCAATAAATAAAACGACTAATTTGAAATGTCAAGTTTTAATATCCTTACATTATAGTATCACCGGAGTTACAATTAAAAATCTCATAATATACCTAATACAATACAGCAGTAAAAATTTAAGAAAATAGACACTGTATCTTCAGTCAGTATGAAGGCACTATTTTAAAGCTATCTAAGCATTCCTTATATTTTATTCAATAAAGATACCTTAAACATATTAAATACCAATAAAAAGTAGGTATTACTGCAACTTATCACTACAGATAGCAGTTTTTTAGAAACATTGAAAATTGTAAAAATGGAACAGACTTCAAATTTAAAAAAAAAATAATAAAAATGTGAAAAATAATACTTATCTTAAAAGCGGTTAAATGTTTTAAGAAACATTGAAGTCGGGCTGTGGTTTCCTATAGTCAAATAATTACCTCAATGTTTCTTAAAAAAATTTGCCGCTTTTAAGTTAACTATTATTTTTCAAATTTTTAAATTTTAAGTATTCATTGTATCCATATGTTTGTTTTTTGTCCATTTGTGTACAATTCATGCATTTTAGTGTTGTTTGAGTTTTAGTTTAAAATGAAGTCAGTCGGTTAAAAATATAATATTTATCTTATACAAAATGCTTAAAAATAAATTGTATTAACATAATTTCCATACCTAAAACATTGTGAATGCAAAATTTCTCATATATTACTAACTTTTCACCAGCGTGATCCCTAGGGAACTTTTTAAGGAAATCATTCACTTCCAAAAGATGAATTTCATAATAAAAACTATACGAAGCGGAGCATATATGTATTGGAATTGCTGTTTTGAAGTAGGTAAGATATTCAATTACTTTTATCCTGAAGGCAATATAAAAATTTTACTCTAAAAACAATAACATAAACAGCCAGTTGCACAAACATCCATAAAAATTTTCATTAGTTTGTAGCGTCATTACCTAAACAAATTTGACATCCATTAGAGCTTAAAGGCTTAACTTTAATGGATGTTTGTGCAACTGACCGATAATCTTATTATTTGCCCTGGCTGTGTTTAATACATTTTCTAACACTGGTCACTATGCAGAGCTTTGCGTAATGTTCCCTATTGTTTTTTTATTCGTTTTCGACTTTCATACCTTCAGAGTGAATATCAATCTGGATTACAGTCATTTGGAATCAGCTTGAATATGTCTTTTACAAAAATATAATTAAGCATACATTAATAGTTAACGGTAGAAATTTACAGCATGTTTTGATGAATTGGTAATAAAATTGCGACATGATTAATTTTTTCTAATTTAAATATAAGCACAGAGCTCATTTATCTACCTCTTAAATTAAGTATATCTTGGTATTTAGTTCTTATTTCATCAGTCATCATAGACTAACAGATTAACGACTTAATGGACAAAGAATTAATTTAACATACAAGATGTTAAGGGGACATTGCTGTACAAACAGACATGAAACTCGCTTGCAAATTCCTAGTATGTATATGATCAAGTGTTACGTCTAGTGGGCCTATATGGCAAGTACATAATTTTTATGTCTTATCGTCATGTTGGGTCATGTTAGCGGCGGCGTCGTGTAAATGTGCAGCGGTAGGCCTGAGTATCGGATCAGTGTGAGTGCAGCAATAGAACAGAGTGAGTGCGGACCCGTATTCATCCTCGGATATGTTCGCCAGTATTGGTGGACGAGTACCTGTCGTATCATAATATATACATCACTATCGGTAACAATATAGGAATATATATAATTCGAAAAATTATGCCATCGATTCGCGAATCTACGTCGGTATACATTAGTGTTTAAAAACCTCTAATAAAAGATTGGTTTCTCTCCTGTTTTGTAAAACAAGCCACATCAAAAATACAAAAAAAAAAAAATCTCATGACTACAGAAAAAGCAAATAATAAATTACATACTTAAGTAAATACTGGCTATGTTTAATTTACAGTAACCACTTGTAAAACTACTACATATACATTTCTACAGTTACAATATAACTGTGCACCGCATATAAATATAACTCACAACCATCACCAATTGCTCAGCACTTGTATCAACAAAAGATTTTCAACCACCAAGTGAATTAAAGTCCCTGATGATGCCCCATGTAGGGGTTTGAGGCATGAGAGTATTAGTTGATGCATTTGTGAGAGATGATGCAATTTTTGCATGTGTATTTATTAGCAGAGTACAGATATCTTACTGGAACTAGCTGTGAGAAAGAAAGTTGAAGTATAAAAACAACTGCAATAACTTTGTGAGGTAGCAAATAATTCAATTAAATTTATCATTGATCTATTAATTCCTGTATTATAAGGATACAGGTTTTCTATAGATAGGATCACAAACAAACAAGAGGGACCAACATGAAATGATTATTATTAACATCCTTTAGATGGAGCTGAGCTCAAAAATACCTGTAGGATATCAAATCAATACAAAATTATTCATTCAGTCTAGGCTGTTACAAGCACTTGTGAAAGCCGAGAGCTATGCCATCGGTTCGTAAATCTACGGCGGGAGACCTTGTACCGAGAAGAACCAGCAAGAAGCTCAATAAAGCAAGGTACTCCAGGGCAGGATATAAAATTGTGGCTATACATCTAATGATCTATCTTTATGAAAATATGGTATTTGATAAGATTAAGAATATATTATATTATATTATATTAGTCATCATATCATAATGCGTAACAACACATTTCAAATAAAATCAAATATATTTTGAGATTTTATCTGAGACAAAAACCTTATAAATGATTGCAACTCCAATGACATCACATGCTAGTAAATATGACTTCCTGTTCATGAGTGTAGTTTGTTTATTTACATGAGTATGATGTCATAAGCAGCATAAGACAGAAACAGTGTTTTTCACACGGCATCAGAAATTGAAACTTTTGATTTTTGTTGATAAAAATAGTTAATTTTCCAAAAATATGTGCTTATTAAGTAATAAAATAATTTGAAGGATTTTTTAAAATTAGTCTAATACCTTATTGCATCTGCAATCAAAAACTGTTAGTGATAACCGATGGGTCATTCTTCTATCAGTCACTGAGAGTAAAGTATTTCACTTTTAATATAATTTTCATACCATATTTATCAGAAAAATAGTCCTCCTCACTGGCAACGGAGTCATCTAGTGTTTCAAGGCTCTCATCTATATCATCAATTTGAGTATGCGGTGGCATCAGAGACATCATTTCCCATAGTGTGAGGCCCAACGGCCATATGTCAGTCTTGGTTGATATTATACCTCCATGGATCACTTCTGGGGCACTCCATGCTTCAGTACCTGTTAATTCATAAATTCAATTGCATCACAATCATCCTATTGTGATCCTGAGGTAATCTATTGTGTTTCACTTTCACATTGACATATGAATATTACTATCTCTGAGCTATACTTAAAAAAGCAGTTTATATGATAAAGACCTCATTAAACAAATGTATCAAACTATAACGCACCATAGTAAATAGCTTTTACACCTTTTTCCTTATTCAACACACCATTTTCGTCTAGTGGAACTGTGACACCAAAATCGCAAAGTTTGCATATAATAAAATCCCCATTAACAAGTACATTATATGACTTTAAGTCACCATGTAAGATCTGCATCTTTGTGTGCAGGTAGTCTAGTGCACTAGAAACATCTAAAGCTACCTGAAATTCACATTTAATACAAAAATATTAAACATAATAGAGAGGATTAATAAATTGTACAAACAAGAACAAATTAAGGTAAACAAACCAAAATTGAGTTTATAAAATCTTATACTATGTCAGTACATAAGTTTGCAAACTGTTTTACTAACCTTTATTATATGTTTGACAGAAAATGGCCCAGCATCATCCTCAACTCTCTTTTCAATCATATCTCCAAGAGAGAGATCACATGCTTCCATTCCTAAATAAAGAATCTTTGTCTTACTGAATGCTCTAAATCCAACTATATTTGGGTGCGACATACGTTGAAGCAGCTCAGCCTCAATTTTAAGTCGTTCGGTGTAAACTTTGTTGGGTTTAACACGTTTATTAAGCATCTTGAGGGCCCATGGAGAGCGGATTTGACCAGCACGAGGTGATCGAACTAATTGCATTACATTTACGCCTAGAAAGAAAATAATTTCTATATAATACGCTTTTGTTGATGAATATTTTTTTCTAAATCATGTAATTCAATTGTAATAGTAACATACCTGTGCCGTAGCCGAGGCGGCTGAGAAACGGTGATGGTGGTATCGTAATTGTAGTCTCATTTTTCTTAACGGGAGTTGCAAATTCTGCCATTTTTGCTTGTTTATTTATCAATTATTTTTAATTTTAAGTATCACTCAGCCCGTAACGGATATTTTGATTTTTTTTTTTTTTTTTTATTAAGAGCATTGGCTACCAAGGCCATCAGCTTAATCCTTTAGTGCATACATATAATTAGAACTAAACACTACTACAAAATCCTTAGACTAAAAAAACCCTTAAAATTATGTTATATAAATATTAAATATTAAATGTAAGAAAGAAGAATCAAATTTGATATAATCATTTACAGAAGACCAAAAGTATTACTATAAAAATGATAAATTATTACATACAAATCAACTATTTTAAGCATGTCCTGCACATTTTTTGGAAAAATTTGTTTTTTAGATGATCTGTACACAAAGAAACAAAAAGAAGACGCTGCAAGTTAAAATATTACAATTAAAAAATAAATGCTGAAGGTCACATATTGTCTCTGTACAATATTTACACAATGCACTGTCGCTTAATCCGAGGCGGTGAAGATGGGATGGGAATTTACAATGACCTATTCTTAATCTACAAAATGATGTTATGAAGTTCCTATTCGGGGTAGTCAATTTCTCAAACCAGGCTTTAGTGGTGGGCACAGGACAATTTCGGCATGCCATTTTACCCTTAGTAAGACGTGAATTGGCTAGGGATATAGACCATCGTTTGATCATATTTTCTTTTAGACGAATTATTAAATCACTATATGGCACTTTGTAATCATTTATCAGTGTTATATTCTGTGCAGATCGTGCAAGTTTATCTACGAGCTCGTTCCCAAATATGCCGGAATGTCCGGTACCCAACAAAATTCAATTAATAAATTACATTGATTCAATAGTTCAACAGGTTTCTAAGTTCATAAACTAAGTAGTTACATTTCACATCTATACATTTATCCTTTAATGCAAACAGTCCACTCATAGAATCACTAAGTATTATAATTTGAAAAATGATGATGAACTGAAATTCAATAATATATATTTAACAGCATAAATCATGCCTAAGATTTCAGCAGAAAAAATTGAGAAATTGTGATCACATGAATAAACTTTACCAATTTTATTACAAGAATCGTAAATGCAAAACTAGTGCGATTATTTGTTTTAGAACCATCAGTATAAATTTTTATGTAATCTTTTTTCTCGCTCAGAAACTCATAAAAGTCTTGTTTTGAATCGAATCTCGTTAACGTAACTTCAACATCACGTAGCATTACTGCAAAGTTGTAAGAGAAACAAGGAGGTTTAAACGACCAATAAATTATATCTTGAAATTCAAAGTTTAAATAGGTGATTGATTCTGTAATGGAAGGCATCGCAGGTATAGGAATATTATTATAATTAGGGATTGCAAAATTTTCAAGGTAACGACTAACTAAAACATTGTCACGACTAATTAAATTCAGACAAAATTTTTCTGATAAATAACTTCTCTTATATGTAAAGGCGGTACTCCAGATTCGACTTCTAAGGAATTTATAGGAGAAGATATCATAGCCCCTGTAACTATTCTTAGCCCTTTATTTTGAACAATATCTAGTTTTTTCAGAAACTGTTTGGATGCGTGAGCATAAAAAATACTACCATAATCTAATTGACTACGAACTGTAGAAATAAAAAAGCTTTTCAATATTTTTGGATCAGAGCCCCAGTTAACCCCAACCAGAGATTTCAAAATATTTAAACGCAATTCTGCTTTTTTTACATGAATATGTAATGTGGGGACCCCAAGATAATTCTGAATCAAGTATGATACCTAAATACTTCTCAGACGTTTTGTAAGGTATAAGAGTATTATTATAATATATACGAGGACTGACAGGGCAACTATAGGCAAAGAGCATAACTGAACTTTTGTTTACGTTTACTTCTAGTTCTAATTGATTATTTAACAAGTTACTAAGATAGGTAAGACAATTGTTCATAATTCGTTCACCCTTACACAGATCTTCACAGTCTAAGTATATAACAACGTCGTCAGCATAGAAAGTATATTTAACTAAATTCGGTATGAGTTTCATAAAATTTACAAGACTTAAAATAAAAAGTAGTGGTGAAATAACTGATCCTTGGGGGGTACCTTTAAAAGACTTACACGGACCGTATAAAATTATCCCTAATTTTTAATGTAACGGAGCGACCATTTAAAAACTGAAAAATCCAAAATAAAACTGGACCAGGAATACCTAATGAACTTAAAGTTTGAATCAAGTACTCGTGTTTAATATTATCGAATGCGCCTTTTATGTCTAGAAAAACGGCGATAGTTATTTTATTTTTTCTAAGATTACTTTGTATGTCGCCTAATAAACAACCTAAATTGTACATCGTGCTCTTTCCCTTGCGAAAACCAAACTGGTAATCAGGTATAAGAGAGTTATGTTCGATAAACCATTCTAATCTATTTTTTAACATTGTCTCAAATAACTTTGCTAAGCACGAAGTCAAAGAGAAGGGGTCTATACGCATCTGAGCTATTGCCATCCTTATTAGGTTTTAAAATAGGTATTACAATCTGAGTCTTCCAGATAGGAGGTATAATATTATTTTTCCATAGTTGATTGTATATATTTAAAAGAAGACTTTTTGCGTTTCAGAAAGATTTTTAATGACAGAATATGGAATATAATCAGGGCCTGGTGAAGTATTCTTTTTATTATTTAAGGCAGCTTCAAATTCAAACATATGAAAGGGATTTTGGATCCATTTCGCTGACTCACTTCCCTTGGATGTGAAGTACGAATCTAAATTATAGGAATTTATATCAGAAGAATTCGAAGGAGTTATTATTATTTAAATAAGCCCATGCGTGGACTGATTATCAAAATAATGTGACCTAGAAATATTTCCTAATTTAGCAAATTTAAATCTTCTAATTTGATCCCAAATTATTTTAACAGGTGTAGTTCTGTTAAAGGAATTACAAAAATTGGCCCAACTTGAAAAGCTTTTGTTCAGCTAATATTCTTTTCTTTTTAGCATCGAATTGCTTATATAAAATATAATTTTCTAAAGTAGGATATTTTTTAAATGAGTTTAGAGCGAGTTTAGCTCTTTTAACTGCTAGAGAACAAATATCATTCACCAAATAGTAGGCTTGCGTTTTCTGTTATGGCAACTGAATTTTTGTTTTTTAGGAAATGTCATTAAAATATTACATAAATTTTCAATAAATGAAGTATAGTTTGTTAAAGGATCCGATTCTAAAGTAAAAACAGGAAAAAGCATCATCACATAGCTGGGAAAATTTTAACCAATCTATTTTTAGAAAGTTAACATCAGCCAAGTAAGAAGAACTATCTGAAATATTCTGAGAATTTACGTTCTTTGCAGATGATGAAAAACTGATATGGTCGTGATACAGAAAGCTAATTAAAACGGGAAAATGATTACTGCTTATCAAATCGTCGTAAACAGAGAATGTACAACTTGAACTTACCGCAGGTGATGCAAAAAACCAAGTCCAAAACGTTGCCGTTCTGATTATACGATGCAAAAGTTGTGACTGTGTGATCATTTAGGCAAATAAGATTATGGTCGTCAGCAAAAGAATTAATTATATTGCCCCTTCTGTCGTTATACCTAGAGCCCCAGGATGAATGATGAGCATTGAAGTCACCAATCAATAAATTGTTTCTGTTTTTAATATATTTATATGAATTTGAAAGCATTTCTAAATCAAATTTACCCTTAGGTGGAGGAGGTACATACACACATAGTATATCAACACAAGTGTAGCCTGTCTTGACTGAAATTAATAAATTTTGAAAGTGATAATTTGATGGTGTATTAATTACTTTATGAACATGCTTGTCTTTGATAGCAACTGCTATGCCACCATGAGGATGATCAGAATCACGTCGAATAATTTTGTAACCAGGCAACTTAAATAGCTTTGAAGTATCAAGCCAAGTTTCATTTAGAAGAATTAAATCGAATTTGGAAGAATAATTATTGAGAAAATATTTAAATTGGTCTAATTTAGATAAATGCTGCGACAATTCCAATGACAAATGTGAAATTCATTAATACCAACCTCACTGTCCATAAAATTAGGGAATTAAAATTGGAAATAAGAGTTTCTTTTATGAGTTTTGATGAGATAGTGTTACCTGAATGAGCATCTTTCTTATTTACAGCAATGTCTACAAGTGTTTTTGTTAATACATTTAGCACATCATCTGAGTTAAGAATATCTGTAAATAACAATCTTTTCTGTGGTGCATTAAGTAGCTTCAAGTGATGTTTTGGTGTAGAAGTATCAGATCTTGGGATATCTGAAGTTACTGTCTGAACTTTAGAGGTGACTGTAGCATAAGTTTGTTTGCCACTAATTCGATCTTTCAGTTCTTGATTTTTGGCTGATTTAATAGGGCAAGTGTTGCTGATAGCCATGTGAGTACCATTGCAATTGATGCATTTAAGTTTGTCTTTATTGGTGCATTCTTTAAAGAAGTGATTCCCAGAACATATAGAGCATACTTGAGAGCTTCTGCAGGATCCACGGCTGTGTCCAAATTTGTAACAGACAAAACACTGGCGCACAGGTTTGATATATTCCTTTACATCAAACCACATAAAATCATAAGTCACATGATCAGGACGAGTTGAGCTCAGAAATGTAACAAGCACTGTTGGTGTAGGGGAGAATGATCCATCCTGATTCTTCCTCATGAAGCGTTTCACACCTATTACTTCATAATTCGATTTTATATTGTTAATAAATCTTCCTCTTTAATTTCTTGTGGTACTTTTATTATTCCTAGACTTTCCAGACGATCATAGGGAATTTTTGCTTGCCAATCATGTTTTTCTAATAAAGATTTATCTAAAGAAATGCATTTGCATCTTTTTTTGTGGAAAAATAAGCTTTGAAAAGGAAATTGCCAATGCGTTTTACATACATCAGACCAGTACAAGATTTTAATATGTTATTTATCTTCATTAAATCAAGTTTTGTGTTGGGAGAGGATGAAGATATTAATAATGGATATTCTTTTTTGCAATCTTCTGTGTACATATGGACATAGTCTTTGAAAACGCCTCTTTTATTTGTGATAAAATTTGCCGCCATCTTATCGGTGGTGGACAGTCTTCTCCGCCTACTAATTTTCTTTTGGATGCAGGGCCTGCCGCCACTCTCTTCGTTCATTATTATGAAATCGTATATTAATCAGTTTACATATACGTAAAGATAGGAATAAAAATTTATTCAGCTAAAAAGGGCTTGTGAAGGAATAGTTTTAAATTTTATTTCAAATATCCCGCCTAACACTTTGAATGTTCGCGCCCTTTTCATGTCCTACCCGGATATTTTGATAATTACTCGCTTGACAGGTCGACGCAGTGTTGCCATTGGTCGTGTCGAATTTTCATCCGAATGAGGAAGTATTTTAGGAAAAAACAGTAAGCACTAAAAAGCACCTCACTAGATGGCGACTCTACCAAAGGTTGATTTTCAAAGGAAACGAATGGACCAAAGATAGTAAATTCCGTTCCTTTTAACTAACATATCAAAAAACTGCAATTTCAAAGTTCGAAACTTGGATATCAATACAAATACGAAGAAATACAAATAGAATAATATGAGTTGTTTATTTTGTATTGAAAATAAATTTACTTTTATACATAAAAGTGAACATGGAGACATCAAAGAAAGTACCATAGCGACATCTAGTTTGATTTCGGGGACTAATGATTTTTTAAATACTTCCTCATACTGTGTTCAAGCCACGACCAAGCTGGTTTTGATAATTTTGCCAATTTTTGTATATTTAGTATTCCTATGGGGTGATTCATTATCACAATTCCTGCACATATTTGACCGATTGCCCCAGAAAAGGAGTGTATTGTACTTAGGATTAATCGCGGTACTAACTTGAAGAGAGTTATCCCGACGATCTAATAGTGTTTTAAACAGTAATAGTTTATTAGTGAAGTTTGTATTTTGTTAAGAAATTATAAATTGTTAAATAAACAGTCGGATTGAGAATTAATCGGCGATTATTTTATCCGATAGGGCCGGTATGGCCGAGGCCAACATAGAATGTTCTAGGTTTTAACCTACGAGAGCAAATTACAGTAGTGACTTATATTAGTGGAGCCGAAGTGTGTAATTTAAGGAATTATTTTTGTAATTTTAAATTGTTAAATAAAGAGTGAATTGAATGGGAATTAAATTGGCGTTAATTTTTTTAACCTGAAACCTAAGGGATGGATATCAAACCTGCTTCGAAGGTCAGTTATATGCGATCCTAAAATCATTGACGATATCTAATGGCTTTATCGGCGATTAGTATCTCCTCTTGTGTTAATATATTGCGACAAATTCAAACGCACGAAAAAGTAGTATGACACCACTTGATCCCACAAGTCTAGGTAAATGCGTTCAATTTATCCAACATCTTTAATTTATTACCTCCATAGTTAACTGGTATTTTGAGGGTTATTGTTATTTTATAGAGTTTTTAATTTTTTTTTTTCTGTAATGTAAAGTTTGTTATTTATATTTTGAGTGACATGTACTTTGTATCAAATTATCCTTAATTAAGACGAAGAAATATAAATAATGGTCATTACAATCAACTTTACTGTGTTAACCAAGTAGAAAGCTGTCCTTTTATGACTCATTTGTTAAAATATTGAACAAGATGTTGTTGTTATCTTACATAGTGCATAATATTTTTATAAATGTATTCGGAGAGTAGGTACTTGCAGCCGAATCTCATAATAGGCCAGATCATGCTTCATTTCATTACACTATGAAAATAACAAAAATATAACAAACTTGCCGTTTCAATATCTGTCAAAACTCTCATGTAGAACTCAGTTTACTTGACAAGATATCAATATGAGGATCCCATTGCAGTCGGAAATCTAGCATAACCAAGGATCTTTATTGATTGTAAATTCAACGGTTACACTATAGGTATTTAAAAGTGTACAATATGTGTAAAAAAAAAGTAAACTTTATGCATTTCATTCTATTTTAATTAAGGTTCAAATTATTATTTTCTAAATAATACTGTCTCTTACAAATTCTTCGTAAAGTGAGGAAGATCATTTTAAATAAGGAAAAGTAATGGTCCAAATATTGATCCCTGAAGCACGCCCACAGAACTGGGATTACTTACTCTATCCATCTTACGACAGCGTGTAATCTTTTTCATTCACTGTTGAATATCATGCCGTGCATGCATAATACATTATCGGCAATAAAGTATGCTTCGGTCAGAGTATTGGTGATTAACGTTTTAATTATGTGTGAAAATGGGAAACGAAGGTCAGCAGGGGGATGCGGCGATAATGGCCGGCTACTGTCCTCCGTTGCTCAATGGGAGGATACGATGCGTGCGCGCAGCTGTGGCCGCAGTCGCACGCCGCAGTGACTGAGCGACTTGATCGTGAGACGGTCGTCTGTAGTGCTATCATGCGGTAAACTGACGCAACTAACATGTCAATCTGTAACACTTTCGGGTAAGTAGGAACTTTAATTAAATAAATTATAATAGAAATTAAAATATTACTCTTGTTATGTTGGTTGATAGTGACACTCACCTGTAATGAGTTAAACAATTTTTGAGTACCTAAGGATCTGTTATATGCAGAACGATTCAGGCTTTCGGGAATATTTCTACAAACTTCTCTTCTAACCTAATGGTGGCATATTACTTTCAAAAATAAACCTAGCCTAATTTATAAAGAACAGTTATATATTTAGCGTATCCATCTGAACAAGGAACTATTTGCAAAAGTCGAAATACGATATTTTGACATCATTGTAGCGGGTGTGCTCCTATCTAAGGAATGAATTATAAAATTTTACTTTCCATTAAAGAAGGGTCGAATAATAAGTTTCGTAGAGATGGTCCTGCATTGCATGTCTTTCAGTTCCCATCAAAATATTTGGAAGTATAGACACTAAAACCTCAAATACAAAGATAAAAATTTGACGTTTTTCTTTAAAAAATCAATGCGTAATTTTTTGAATGGCCGCATTATGATACCGCCATATCTAGTTTTTTAACATTTTTAATTAAACTTGTAGCTTTATTAACATCTTTAATATTTTCATTCGCATAATTACTAGTATAGCTTATGAACACAAAATTGACCAAATATAATTTATCTTTGATTTACGACCTCCGTAGTCGAATGGTTCGTATACCAGTTTCAAGGTGAGTTCTCTCGAGAGAGGTTCGCTTCCCGGTCGAACCAATATAGAAAATTAAATTATTTTTATGTGAATCTTCATAATAAATAAATTTATACATATTAAGTGTCTATAAAATGATAGAAAATTTATGAAACCCCCATTTACGAGAGATTTCTCTTGCTCTTAGGGCGCCGATCAGAATAAAAGGGTTGTAATTTGAAAGTGGCGAAAATGTTATTATTATGCAAGGTATACTTTTCTAATGTGTAATATAAATTGCCCGGCAATTATATTTTTATTCAGAAGTAAGTAGAGCATTATTTCATTAAAAAATGAAACCGTCTATTATTTATATTATAAACATCATTAATTAGGTTATTCGATGTTTTATAGTCAGACCAGTTTTCGTTACGAATGCGTTGCTTACGGCTGGTTGGTGGCGGCGCACGCGCACGCAATAAGACATGTTTGCACGCAGTTAACAATAGATAGTATTGACATCTAACACCTCGCACAAGCCGTAATTCACTCGATTCCTTAGCGGTATTATGTCAACACAGTGTCGTGCACGCATCACATAAATAATGTTATAATTAAATCCATAATGTCTTGATAAACTCCTTTATAGTTTAAAAAGTATGCCATTTATTATTCTTCTTTACAATAAAATTGAGGTATAAAATAAAATAAGAGTAGGCGAATAAAAAAGTAAGCTTACATTTGGTGAACCTGTAGTGTACCTGAGTAATGTATTTGATGACCAGTTAATTATGAATTAAGCCGATGGCTATGTTTAACCGACTTTAACATCGAAAAGGAGGTTATATGTTCGACTGGGTTCGGCGATTTATTTTTTTGATAACCATTCGCCGATTTTTTGTCAAAATTATTTTTTTATTCGACATCATAATGGCCCCGAGGTGGTCTAATTTTATAACAAAACAAAATATAATTTTTTTATCAGATATCAATTACATTGATGACATATTTATATTAACGAAAAATAAAAGTTAGCGTTTGTTTCGTTTAAACAGATTCGGAAAAGAATAATTTCTATATTCAACAGATACGTATATTTTTTATGTAAGTATGTATGTTCTTCGATTTCTTGTTAAATCGTGACCCAATTTCAAATTCCATCACGACCTCCTACGGCCTTCGTAGTCCGTAGCCGAGTGCTTCGCGCGCCGATTTCAAGGTGTCTGGGTGTTATGGTACCTTCGTTCTCTCAGATACTACATAATACGGGCGCTTTAGCTATTCATCTTGGAATCTGAGCAATGTATGAAGTTTAATATTATATTATAATTAAAGTAGCTGTAGCTCCGCAAGTTCGCCTTAAAATATTATTGCCTATGTCCTGTCTGCGTATTATGTAGCTTTCCCGAAGATGAGAGAAGTATTAAAATCGGTCCAATACTTTCTGAGCCTATACAATGCAAACAAATAAGCAATCAAATCTTTTCTCTGTATAATATGAGTATAGATATATACTGAAAATAATTATGTCGAGAAAATAAACAAAATATCCTTCTCTAAACTTTTACTATGTTGACATATGTTTTTAGCGTTTACCTTTAATAAGGGGTCACCCATAAATTACGTCACACGATTTTCATGATTTTTTTGCCCCTCCCCCATCCTAGTCACAGCTGGTCACATTTGCAAGACTTCCTCCTCCTAGTGTGATGTCACATATTTTGCAAGGTTTTCGTAAAGTAATAGTTTAAAATTCGTGTTTTAACACTTATATTATAATATATTTTAAAATGTGACGTCACCAAAATTTAGGACCCTCCCACCCCTTGTCACAAAATGTCGCACTTCGTCGACCCCCTCCCTCCCCCTTAACGTGTGACGTAATATATGGATGGCCTCTAATGTCAATACTACTAAAAAGCATGAAATTGAATATTTTTCTCAAAAAATAGAACCGACTTCGAACTTTAAAGAAACTTATTCAAGAAACTGGTATTGAAGTCGGGGGCGAACATCATTTAATAATAACCTACAGAAAAAGTATGAAGTTGGTTCTGCATATTTTATAAAAAAAAACTGTTATTGACTACTCGCTTCTGATATAATAGTTATAATAAAACATCACATTTATGTAGTGATATTTTATTTTCGATATTGACTGGTATACGTATACTAGATAATTTTTCTTATACAACAATATAGTATTTATTATCGTATCCTTTTTTGTCCATCTTAGCTATCAGGAAATGTTGTAACAACAGTACAAATAGTACTCTATTACCTTAATCATAATAGAGGCTCTGTTATGAAATTCATTACGATCGTGCGAGAAAAGAAAATCACCTGACACCTTTTGGCAATAAGAACGACGGCCGAAGCGCCCGCGCACTGCGCCTGCGCGCGCGCAATAGAGACCACGACGACGTCGCTACAAAGATGTCTCAACAGATTGTTACCGACCTACCTAATCAGTCCAACTTCTATAACAAAAAGATCGCAAGCGAGCGATATTGAGTAAATTCGATTCATAGTGAACATCACAACAGTTCTGTTTAAAAACGATTACGTTAATACTTGTCAATTTTTATAAGAAAGTCGGCTTTATTTTGAATCCGGAAAATTAGCAAATAAGAATTTTGCTATTTTTAATATCAGAAATTAATAACCGAACGTAAATAAATTCATCAGTAAACAGATTATGTAAAATTTGTTATAAGAATTCCAGAAAATGTTGCATAAAACTCATAGTACCTACCTACTTATGCAAGTAGTGGTATATTGTTTTGTACAGATTTCATATGATACTTACTACTAAAAGCTTTGCGAAATGAGAGTGCTTACCGTAGAAACGGGGAAAGTTGTAAGATAATAATGTATACTATACCTATATAATTTCCTTTGATTATATTATATAATCAAAGATAATTTCATTTCACTTCGTTATAATGTCTGTATTGTCTGCTAACATTTTGTGAGCAAGGTTTGAAAAATCATAAATTATATTGTAACGCCATATATCAAAAGTATTTTGATTACTATGAATCTTTACCAACATAGTAGTGGGTTATTAATGCCTGTGCGCAGTGCAAGCACCTCTCGATTTCAATATTATTTTATGAATAAGTTGGTTTGAAGATAAGTACCTATTATTCATCACTTTTTTATAGTTTGAAGTCGGTTCTATTATTTTTTTTTATTTTTATTTCATGCTTTTTAGTGCTATTGCTAATTTTAAATAAAAGGTAATACTAAAAATATTAAATATCTATTTAAATAAAAATATTCAATATAGTGAAAGTCACAGATATCATTTTTTCCTATAATTCTATACTCATATTATAAAATGGAAAGATGTGATTGGATGTTTGTTTGCATTTAATAGGCCCCGAAAAGTCTTTCATCAACGGGAAGTACTTAAGTCGCGAAGAAAGAGCTAGTTTGATAGAAATTGGTTCACAATTAAACAAAAATTCGATAGACATACCTTAACGGCACGTATTACGGCAAATTGACAAGTTCATAGGTAAAGGAAGGTCTATTATACTAACTACAACAAATTTAACGCCACCCACAAAATTACTGGCTAAATTAAATATGAAGAAAAAAATTAAAACAATCATTAATATAATACAATATAATATCGGGATACCATCCTCATTTGGTGAATATCTCAAAACTCCGCACAATGCTATTGCTACGCATCATCTTATTCTACGCAAGGCGAGAGTAAATAGGCTCCTTCTGGGCAAGCTCATACCACCGAAGATCTCATCCAAGCCTACAGAATGAATTGAGATCAAGAGTGATTCCATAATATTATTTTTTAATAAATTTTAATTATTTTTCTAGAATTCTATTATGAAATCTAGCATTACATTAATCGACGTCATTGCGTTAATTCCACCTGCAACTGTTGACTGATCGGGTGCGCCTGCGCCTGCGTTGCTCGCTCAACCGTTGGTACTTATACTCGTAAAACGGCACAAGACACTAATGGATAGTTGGACAATGTCAGAATGTTCATGTGTTACAACATTTTATTGACTGAGTAGATGCGATCATTCGTGTGCCTATAAACTTCAATACATTACTGTTTGAGTCTTAGTAGCGTGATATATTATTTAATCGATAATGTATTTCATATATTTCAATAATTACGAATGTGGTACGTAATAGCGAGAACTGGTCGTTTCTTTGCTATTTAAAAAATATTTATGTCCTCTCATTCCAATGAAAATTATTAATAGCTTTTAATTTTTATATGTTTGCTACTTATTAAATTATAATATTCTTCAAAATAAACAAAAACATTACAATCCTTTTGCCTCTTCTTTTTAGTCTACATTTCTCCACTTCTTATATGACGATGAACCCTTGAATTAATAAAGTTTCGTGAACCGATCGCAGTAAGGCCTTTGACCGGATTAGCCATTGATACTTAAGCAGGATATTGTAGGCACAATCGCAGGTTTAGATGATTTAATTTTAAAGTGATGTTTGTGAACGGCTTCTCTTTTAATGGATTTTATATTACCTTAGAAGTACCATAGGGTTCCTTAATGGAGTCATTGTTCTTCATTTTGCTATGTAAACGATGTTGATGATAATAGATTTCGCAATAGCTATCGATTTTGATATCGCATATGCGATATGTCAGTGTACTGTTGGACAGTTTACTCAGAACATTAAATTTCAAAGTTCAACCATTTGTAATCACCATTCATAATAAGTACCTACTTCCTGACGCAACATTATACTCTTAATGCAAATACGTTAAAAGGTAAAATATAAGTTGTGCATCCTGCGGAGTAATTTGATCTTCAACATAACGTATGGAAATAAGTAATTAATTAGCGTTAAAATGATGTCTATCGGGGTGTTTTTTGTAGATGTTTCCTTTGGCTCGTAGCTAACCTCGCACGCTATTGTATCGGACACAGATATTTTTTATTTTAACAAAGTTTATAGAATACTTAGTTAACGTAGATAACATGTTGTAGGTAGGTACTTTATTTTTCTAATTAGAATAATTTATTTGTTATTTAGAAAGTACATTTCACATTAGACAGCGAAATATGTGACTATTATTTTTTGTATCAATACTGAAGTTGCAGGCAATTTGCAAAACAAAGCAATAATCTGTATCGGTCTGCTCCTCTGCCTGATTTCCCTGTCTTTTAGACACCTACTTAATAAGTAGGCAACGGTTGGAAGTGGTTGGATTTATTAAATTTATGTGTATAGCGCTACTCATCAATGAATACGGGAAACTACATAACACGCGGGTGACATAGGTATATTATTTAGGCGGGCGAAGTCGCGGGAAAGCAGCTAGTATGTAATAAAGTTCAATCTGATTAGATAACTACTTCAGGTTTTAATTTTATCAGAATTATTTAAACTGAAATTTGACTTGCTTCTTTTGAGTGCTGGTGAGTTTATTTCGCTCATTCTTCTTAACAACTGAATGAAGTCCGCAGGTATGTTAGGTAGGTGTGGTAATATTAAACGATTCAAAAATACATAAATCATATTAATTTGCCTATTTGCTTTAAAAAATATTTACTTTGAGGAATTAATTTTAGACAGCATTACATGAATTGTAAATAAACTAAGCCACTCGACTACAGACGTCGTCGATATATATAATAATCACATTGTTTGGGAATATTAAATTTAAAGTTACTGTTTGGGCGCCACCAATTGTATGAGACAAAGAATATGCGAGAAACACTTCACAAACTCGGCTTAAAAACAGCATCTGCCTAGATATGTACCTACTAAACGAAATTATTGTGATCCTCTCGAAAATTGCATGTTTACAAATCAATACAGGCAATTTAAAATTATAAAAACTAGGTAAGGTCTGATTGCGCAAGCCGGCATTAGATGTGCTGGATCTTTTATCAATCATAACAATTGTAATGTATAAGTATTCTGGTTACCGATTAGCTAGCGCTAGACTAGCGCATAAATTTTTTTAGGAAGCTTCGAGTTTTTTAAACTAAAAAAGTAGGCGTTCTGTAGATGAGTTTTCTATCAAACGTGTTCGATGTAGAAGAGCAAAAAAATCTTTGAACTCTTCTTTACGCGGACGGACAAGTTTTTGTTTGGCACAGAAGAAGTTTTAAATTAACATAGAAAAAAAAATAATGCGATTTCTTTTTAAATAATAAACTTGAAAGATATTGAATTGATAGATAAACGTTACATATTTTTGATACTTTCGCATGTCGGATGTCAAGTTGTCATAAAAATTGAGGAAACGAGATGCATTTTCAATCCACCATGTGCACCGGCTTTAATCGATCGATTAGGCTGACTCCAAAAAATATAATTGTGATTGTCTCTAGTTAGGAATAATTTGTAACAATAGCATCGTTCATAGTTTTATAAACATATGACAAAACTTAGGTATATGATAACATTAATAAACGTCTGATGAGCGGGTGCAGCTGCGTTTGTTTAATAATAAACTCATTGTGTTGTGTCAGTGTGCAAGTTGTTAGAGCGGTTGTGAGAGGTAGTGCCTATATACTTGTCAAAATATTGGCACAGTATCGCATAATGCACACCAATGTACAAATCTTGTGGTAATTTTAATAACTTACAGCCAATCAAATAGTCGCTAATATTGTAAATAATGTCAAGTAGAATTTTAATTATTAGTATACTAAGTACTCGCTTCTCCAAACTAATTTAGAAATCAAGAAGATCTTCATCGCCTACTTTTGAAAAATCACCCCATTTCCAACATGCATGTTTCATATTTACTCTTTGCCATATGTAAAACTTCGATATGTTTGCTTTACAACATTTAAATTCCACTTGTTACAGGTCATTCGCGATTTACTTGGCGGTAATACTCATAATCTCCGAATCACCGGTTAGTGCGTTCACCATCCGGTGGACTCGGACAACGACCTTGAAACCATCGATTGATCTCACCGGTCAGGAAAGTGCCTTATTAGAAGTAAAACATGATATACCAAAAACCAACAATGGGAAAGGGAACATCTTCCAAAAAGTAATTTCTTCCACATCAAAAGATATGATTAAAACTGAAAAAGAAAAGGAAACTCCAACACGAACTTCTCGCAATTCATTGAAATTTGAGAAGGGATCAAATAAAATGACATCTACGACTACAATGTTTAAAAGTAATAAAAATTTGCAACCATTTCATACATCAACTAAAGTAACAACGCCAATAAACGACTCAACGCAATTAGTCACATCCCCGAGTACAATCATTAATGGAAGCCGCACTAAATTGGACGACACTATTAAAGAAAAAAAGATTAATTCTAGATCGGAACAAACCACTGTAGGTTACGCGATAAAAAATAACGACCAAACAACAGTAAATAAGATAAAAGGAGATAAAAATAATATCGATTTAACAACAGAGGTTTTAGAAACAACAACACAACGATTAGCGGCATCATCACAAAGGTTAATAGAGTCTACACCTCAAAATTCAAATATTCTTGACACTAGTAACACTAAAATGACTAATGATCCCTCTACAACTACAGATATGACAATTATGGCATCAGAATCACATATGTTCAATACAGGAACTGAAAATGTGGTAACAGATATCAAAGAATCAACTGAAACGATGGTAGTGGAAGCCTCTAGTTATATGTCTACGAATCCTTCCTGGAAAAAATATACTAATATTGAAAGAGGATATACTAAACCATTGAAGGTAGAGAGCTTCAGTACAGAAGCTATCGAATTACTCATGAATGCCGAAACAGTGCCTATTAAAACTACTTTAGAAAATGTTGCTAATATCACATCCATAACATCTCTGAAAAAACTTAACCAACAGCTAACAACTAACGCTGAAACCAATATTACTCGAAATAATGAAAGCGCTACATCAAAGTTAGTTCCGACTGATCCTTCAATTATAAACAGTTCTGGATCTGCAACTTTGAGTTTAAATACAGCGACTGATAATGTGGTAGAATCGAAACGAGCTGGATTTATAGATTTAACCGCAAAACAAAATGATACTGAGGTAATAACTACAACCGATAATTTTACTTTTAATGAAACTGAATTGATTGGAGCTATGTTTGAAGCGGAACTTAATGAAAATGACAGTTCTGATATAAAAAATGGATCTGAATCGCAAAGTCAATTGGTGAGCATAAAAATTATTAACACTAAATATTTGGATCACTTATTGATGAAACATCCATTAATTTCATTTCATCTTTTTAATTCAAAGTACAAAATTTATGAGAAAACGAATTAAATTAATTTCGAATATATTATCGGTTAATAATATTTTTATGTGATATTATTATTGTAACACTTGCTCCAAATTTATTTCAATTATTTTTTTTTCAGGTAGATGATGAGATGAAGGACAAGTTGCTAGAAGAGCAAGTCTTAAATGATGACTTAGTAAAAACTTATCAAAAACAATCAAGTCAGGGAAACTTCATAGAGAGTAAAAAAAATTTACCCACTGAAGATTCCCTTAGTGTGAAACCAATCAATCCTAAAGTTGGACTTTACACAGTTAGTCCAAATTACAAGAAAATGAAAAAAATCGAGGTACAACCTTTAAAACCCTTTATTAGAGATCCGGACGACAACAGTTGGAGAAACGAAAGTCTGAGTTTATTAGGAATAGTCTTTAAAGCAAAAAATGCCTCCAAACCTTTCACCCAAGTCCTAAAAAACAAAACTGAAGCAGTGCTTAGCATTGCACCTGAAAAAGATGATAAAAATGAAGTCACAGAACTGCGGGAAAGACTCGAGAAAAGCTCACAAGTACGGAAATCGCGGAAAAAGAAAATAAACAAAGCAGGCGAAACTATATACACTGACTATGAAGAAAGCAATTCTGGTGAGTCACTCAGTACATTAAAACCTGATACCACTATGCCATTATTTAACGCCGATGGTAAATTAGCTTTTATCGGTGGAACTTCGATTTCTACCGTCGGTCCTGAATCAACAACACTACCGGGAGTCTACATCTACAAGGAAGACGTTCTAACGACTAGGAAGCCTAAGAAAAATAAATTCGCAGAGTACTACGACACTACAGATGAATATGACGCAGATTATTTAACTCTCCCGAAACTAGACTTGAAAAAGTTTACTACTAGTTTCTACAATAAGGACACGGTAACAACGCCGCCGATTTATCTAACAACGCATGCTAAAACGTTAAACACGAACTGGCCGGACAGGAAACCCACCGTTCAATACTTCCCACCGAAAACTGAACCGCAGAAGGTCAGCTTGAACGATTACGACAGTGATTTCGAGAAAAAAGTGAATATGTTCTCGTTCAAGGAGCCGCCGATAAATATCGCCCGCGCATCGGCAGCCACCGCGCGCACCGTCCAAAAGTACCGGTTATCGCCACAGGAAAACAGTCAAGCGCCGCCGATCGGCAGACCTGATAATTCGTACAAGAACTTTTACGTCACTTTTCCGCCACGGGCTGTCGAGCCCAGTAATCGCTACTCGGTCGACGACGAAAGTTACAACCGCGCGTCCTATGTCATAAAGCACTTCAAGGACTTGATCGACGAAGCGGTCAAAGGCGACTACGACAAGAACGGTGAGTTCGTCCAGTCGTACACGAACTCGCCGTTGACGGGCGTCACTATCGACGAAATGACCAAGGGCAAACAGAAATCGAGCATGGACGACGACTACGATTACGCATCGAACTTCCACAAAGAGATACTGAATAAATTCGTCGACAATTTCAATCAGAACAGTGAAAGGTTCAAAGCGGACTTCCCGATTCTATACAACAATAGTGTAGTGCACGGGAGGGTGCAGGACAGCGGGCGAGTGGTAGCGTCCTCCACCGCCTCTCTGAAGCGGCAGTACGGGCCGCACGAGTCTGCGCCGCACGAGTACTCGCCGCACGAGTACTCGCCGCAGAAGCCGTGCCGCACCAACTGCGACCTCAAGGTGGAACTGTCGCCCGCCTACGAGCTCCACTACTACGTGCCCGAACAAGAGGAGAAGGAAGAGGTCGAGCTGAAACCGGCCACCATACCTTACACGTACAGATTATGAAATAGAACTCGTTGAACGGGTACACGATTCGTTATTCGTCCGCTCAAATTTATGTTCGATCCAGTAATTCCACACTTTCATATTTGATTGTATAACCTCTCGTGGAATCCTAATATGCATAGTGTTGGTTTTCATTTGGTCGGTCTATTTACGTATGAGTGCTTTAATAACATGAAGAGCTAAAGTATATACGAGGACAGATATAGTGTTGGGAGGATATTTGATCTCTTTTTGAAGACGTACCTCAGGGATAAACACGCTAAAATGGAGCTGATTTTTTCAAGACAATTATGATTTACGGTTCACAAATAAATTACCTATAGACAAGTCTGAAATAATACATCTGCTATCACATTTTCACACTTAACATCATATTTAAATTAATATTATGTAAGTAGTATTATGAATATTGTGAAGTTGTTATCTGTCTAATAAATAATATTACTTTTTGATCTAAAGAACTAAATATGTAGGTAGAGCTGGTAAACTGAATTCTATGTCCACATGGACATTTTAATATTTTTTACTTCAATTGGTGGTTGTTCAATATACCCAGAAACACTAGTCTCATAATAATTAATTATGAGACTAGTAATAATATTATGAATTTTGCATTCATAAAAATATCGTCTCGGGTATCTGAGACGCTTTTTTCGAGTATTTAAAGATAAACAGATCTCGTAAATCAAATCTGTGCTTTTATTTCATGCTATTTTTTTTATTAAGATTTTCTGTTAATTTGCTTTTTGGTTGGGCTTATATGTTTGGACTTTATTTGCCCTAGTATCACATTATCTTTGATGGAACCTATCCTTTCGTCTTGTCACTGACAGCTCCTAAATAGTCAGGGATAAACAGGTTTGACTTTAAGAAATGGATCTTGAGTGGCATTTATACGACAACAATAGTTTACTCACCAACTCTGTAGCTGTCATGGTTGCCCCAAAATTGTGCAACAATAAGATCAAACCGCAATCCAATCTTTTAACAACTGCCTAATCTGGGGTCCCACAAAACAAATCTTTTTTATTATTGCTTCACTTTTTTAGGGATGTTTTTCATTTAATAGATAGAAAAGTGTAGTCTAATTGGGATACGTAACCTTTTTCGCCTTCCAAATTACGGAGAGGTCATGATCCTTCCCGTCAGTTGTTTAAATTAGTCAGACATATAATGCAACCTGAAGCTGATTAACATTCGAAAATTAGGGCGTAGTAAGGATGGTAGACTGATAGAAGAGAATTAGCGGTCAACGTTCATGTGGCAAAACATGTATTGGCCCGTGTAATCAAATGCCATTGATAATGAGAAGGATCTAGTATATAAAAAAGTTTACGTTATCATGAGTTAATTGTGCGGTAACGGTTATAACTTTTCATAGAATTCTATTTAATGGGAAATATTATTTATTAATTCGGGAATCTATGGGGTCTTACTTATAACCTTATCAGTAAACTACTGGACAACTAATTATATTTACAGGTATTAATTATTGTATCTAAAAATAATACAAGAGTATTTAATAATACATGATAATTTGAACATATCTGACTCCAAATAGTTTCTAATAGTCGATATTGTAAATTTTTTATTAATATATCTTTATAATTGTAATTTTTTGCCAAAGAAATTAAAGACTTGACGTACTAATACGTCACGTACGTGTCCTTGATAATGAGGGCTATCGTTTTTGTCATCGTTAGCTGGCGCCACTGGCGAGTGAGGTCCGAAGTTGCAATAAATAAATCGTGTACGTGTCAGTCAGTATTGCGCATTTCGTCTCTTGTTCGGAAAAGGTGGACACTTTCCGAAAGTTAAAGCTGAGAGACAGTTTTAAAGTTCTTTATTCTTAGTGGTTAGTAGAAATTCGCAGGAACGAGTATGACCACTTTAAAAATAATAATTTGTATATTTTTCAATATAAATAAATTATTAAATAACCACGAACAGTGATTTTCGACCTTACGCTACACCAGCGCCTCTAGCGGCGTATTGCGCGATAGCCTCTATTAACTTGTCAATATGTGTTAAAGCTAAATTTTCAACTTTTAATGTTGAAAATATAGCTTAATAACAAATAATGTATGGATCATGTAGATAATTATAACTACATAACTATATTTGTGTGATAATTAACAATATATTTGTAATATAGTACATAAGTAAACAATAAACAGCATTTTGATTTAGAAGTACAGACGCTTGCACGACAGGTTACAATATTTTTCTCTTGTTGACTTTCAACTCTTTAAAAAAATCAAGTGGAGTTGGACATATTTTATTAATCTGACTGCTGTTGACTGTACCTACCTTACTGAATTATTTTGAAATTGATTAAAAATTTATATTTTTTTATAGGTACAAAGTAGTTACATAATCCTATATCAAAAAGCATGTACAGAATTGTACACTAGCGCCAAATCATATAGACCTTCAAATACTCGTATCTATACTCGAGAAAAGTAATTACTTGAGAAAATGTCAAACTTAGTATAATTACTTTTAACCAATAGACGAGAATTTCATAATAACTACTAATAGCTAATATCAATAGTACATATTCTAGCTATTAACAGTTTTTATTTCATTCAAATTCTTGTTTATTTGTTAATAATATCCGCTCAAGTTCTAACATATTCTCAAGTAATTAGTTCTCTGAACTATAGATACGAGTATAAGGACCGCCAAGATCAAATATCAGTAAAATGTCAGTCAAAGTCAAATTCTTTGTGCATACAGCACTATATTAGATCGTTTGAAACGGGTATTAACGACCGTGACCACGGTCGGTGTAACCTGGTGGAAACGTCGGGAAATATAGGTAGCTGAAATACCTAACTATCAATATCTATCGCGTTAGTACCCGTCTTATACAATCTAATATAATGCAACGCGAAAGTTTAAAAGTTTATATAGCATACATTTTTCCTGATGGTAAAATCATAGCAAATACACACTGAGAGAATTCATCAGGCATTTACACGTTTGTCTTTGATCCATAATTATTCCGATACGGGATTTCATCACTATATGAACCGTGTTATGTAAACAAAAATATAAGGCTAGAATATTCGATTGGAGTAGTCAGTGCGTTAAATACTTTGTAGTTGTCTATGTCTTTGCGTAATCTTCCTGGTATCCTCGAGTGGTGAATACCTCTGTGAATGTCAATATTTTCAATATTTTATAAATGAATGATAAAATAACAGTAAAAAAATCAACATTTAACGTAGTCTATAGTTTTGTACAGAGTTGTCAGTTAGTGATAGTGGAGTGGGCATTTACTCCACTATCTTAACCTCCGGGTATATATTATTAACGTCTTAAAATTCGATTTAAACATTTCCACAAGCTAAAGCCATGTAAAAACATCAAAATGTGTCCATAGATTTAAAAGTCAAAGTCAAAGTCAAAGTCAAAGTCAAAATAATCTTTATTCAAATAGACTTCTTAAAAGTACTTTTGAATCGTCCAACATTTTTTCCCTACCACTCGTTCAGGACGTCTTTTGGCTGATAAGAAGAACGAGCAAGAAACTCACCAGCTCTAATATGAGTAATGACATTTACAAAAACCATGTCATTACCAGATCAATACATTATAAACAGAGATAAAAAAAAAAAAAACTATGGTCTTATAATAATAACATAATCATTTAATAATAATGGAAACAAGATAATGAGTTTAGAAGTAATCACCTATCCAGTTGCTGGATCATCTCAAGTCCAAGCGTTCTTATCTGTTACATAATCGGATACCTTATAATAAGCTTTTTTAATAAGTATTTTTTTAATAGTAGATTTAAACTGCATGATATCTAATTGTTGTATTTTGCTTGGGACCTTATTGTAGAAGCGCACACAAAGACCCTTGAAAGAGTTATTAACTTTTTGCAGTCTAGTGACAGGCACCGTTAATTTATTTTTATTTCTTGTATTAAAATTGTGTACATCACTTTTTATAGAAAACAAACTAATATTTTTACGAACGTACATTAAGTTCTCGTATATGTATTGAGAAGCAACAGTCATAATGTCTATTTCCTTAAATTTCTCTCTTAAAGAATCCCTAATCCTAAGATTATAAATTGATCGAATTGCTCTTTTCTGAAGCACAAAAATTGTTTGTATGTCGGCAGCATTTCCCCACAATAGGATACCGTATGACATAACACTATGAAAGTAACTGAAGTATACTAATCTGGCAGTATCTATGTCAGTTAACCTACGTATCTTCATTACGGCATATGCTGCAGAGCTAAGTCTACTCGACAATCTATCAATATGTGGGCCCCACTGTAGTTTAGAATCTAATGTTATTCCTAAAAATACTGTGGTATCCACAAGGCCCATGTTCTTATCTTTTACATTAACATTTATATCTACTTTTTTAACATTAGGTAGTACAAATTTTAAGCATTTTGTTTTTCCTTCATTAAGGAGAAGATTATTTACATTAAACCAATGTACTACTTTAGCGATAGAATTGTTCACATCGTCATTTAGAGGTAACCCTCTTTTAATTTTAAACAAGAGTGAAGTGTCATCCGCAAACAAAACTATTTCGTGATCATCCCTTACGAAATAAGGCAAGTCATTTATGTAAATCAAAAACAAGAAAGGACCAAGTATTGAGCCCTGCGGAACGCCCATCTTAATTTTCGATCCAGGGGATCTTTTGCCATTGATATCAACCCTCTGTACTCTGTCAGTCAAGTATGAGACAATAAAATCCAATGAGTTATCTCTAAATCCATAAAAATGCAGTTTCCTAATCAATGTTTCATGAAAAACACAATCAAATGCCTTAGATAGGTCACAGAAAACACCTAACGCATCATGTGAATCCTCCCAGGCATTAAAAATTTCTTGTATTAACTCGACACCGGCTTCGGTTGTCGAGCGACCCCTTGTAAAACCAAATTGTTGTCGATTCATAAGCTTATTCTTGTAAAAGTACGTTTGTATTTGATCCAGCATGATTTTTTCAAAAATCTTACT